CTTTAGCCAGTGATGATTGTTGTTGTTAAATTGCTCGTTTTATTAGATTTTTATTGTATTTAGATTTTCATCCTTTTCCTACTCAGTAAGTAACTCAAGGCAGTGAACATTCCTAATGCTCCTTCCTCCTCCTATTTCCCCATCAACAACCCTGTGAAGTGAGTTGGGCTGAGAGAGAGTGACTGGCCCAAAGTCACCCAACTGGCTTTCATGCCTAAGGCAGAACTAGAATTCAATCTCCTGGTTTCTAGCCTTGTGCCTTAGCCACTAGATCGAGCTGGCTCTGATGCATTAAATCAGGGATGTCAAACTGGCGGCCCAGAGGCCGGATGCATCATATACAGGCCACGCCCACCCCAGCTCCACAAAGGGGATATACGTCATGAAATGTCATGTGACAGCAATGGGACGCCATGAGTTTGACACCTGTGCATTAGAAAGCAACAGCTGGAGCAAAGTCCCAGTGCATCCTGAGCAGTGGTTTTCAATCTCAGTAACTTTCAGAAGGGTGGACTTCAATTCCCAGAATTCCTCAGTCAACATGAAGTCCACCCATCTTAAAGTTGCTGAGGTTTAAAAACACTGATCCAGAGTTGGAGACGCAGCTTGGCCAGTAGTCTGTGTTTGAAGTCCAAAACTCTGGTTGCTTTGCCTTGGTCTTCACGTTGCTAATCTTCTATACAAAGGATGTCTCTGTTTCTATAGTTGCTGGTTGTTCTCTGTGTTTTACTTTCATTTCTTATGGAATGTTGTTAAGGGCAGTACAACCCTGCCCGGTTTTGTGTATGGCTCTTTCAAGAGAGGAGGTGACATCTATGTACTACAAAACTTCTTGTATCTATAACTTTTAACTGGTGAAACAGTGCATCAAAAGCAATGTTTTTGGACCAAGGAACCTCAAATAGGCTATCTTGCAGAATGCATTCAAAATCCAGGGCCCACAGATTTTGTGCTGTAGCCACGTGATCTGTATTTTCAGCTGTTCTGTGACAGTTTCCAAGGCAGTTTTGCAATCCCTCTCTCCATTCCCCCATTCAGCAGCAGCCACTTACCTGCTGTTGGGAAAGGAAGAAGGGCGGCGGGTGGGGGGAGGAATAACAGGAAGGAAACTCTGCATACCCTTTCTGATCCACATTGCCCCTCTGTAATCTCCCAGATCTATGCCACTTCCTGCACTCTCCCTGACACACACACCTGTTACGCACTCCCAAGCATGCCTTTCCCAACTCCCAGGACATCTCTTGCATGCACCCTGCCTGTCCACATGGCATTCACATTAAGCGGTGGTGGCACAGTGGTTAGAATGCAGTATTGCAAGCTACTTCTGCTGACTGCCAGCTACCTACAGTTCGATTCTCACCAGCTCAAGGCTGACTCAGCCTTCTATCCTTCCAAGGTTGATAAAATGAGGACCCAGATTGTTGGGAACAATGTGCTGACTCTGTAAACTGCTTAGAAAGGGCTGTAAAGCACGGTGAAGCAGTATATAAGTCTAAGTTCTATTGCTATTTATCGCAGCCCCCTTGACACCCACACATCCTTCCTGACCCTGACAATCAGCCGCCCACATACCCTACTCTACCTGACTGGCACTGCACCTGTCATGCACTCTTCTTGACCCACAATACCTCTCACCCTCCCTAGCACACCCTTCCCAACTGAACCTGCCATACATCCTCTCACCTCATCCCCCACCTGGCAGAAGGAGGGAAGGAGGTAACAGAATGACAGGGTGGAACAACTGAAGGCAGCGTGCATGTTTTCTATTCCTGTTTTCCTCACTACAATCCTGTGAGGTGGATTGGGATGAGGGAGCAACTAGCCTCAAATCATCATGGTGGCTTTGATGTCTAAGGGAGAACTTGCAATCTTCGAGCATCTAAGCCAGCACTTCAAACTGGCTCTCCCTTCATTACTCATTAACATTTTTTTTCTTTTATACACAATTGTTAGTTACGCAAAGTAATCCAACCCACTTCCTTTTGTTCTTGTCAATTGTCATTTCCTTGATCTTAGCTGTTCTGATGAGGAAATGCCATCTTGTGGAGGCATTCTGGGACTCACCCACATTTCCTTTTGTGTCTCCTGATTTCTTGGGGAAAAAAGCACCACGCCCCCAGTAAGTTAAGCAGCTGTGTCAAAAGCTCAGTTAAACCAACCTTATATTTCTTCCTTTTCTTTTTAACTAGTGGCCCCCAAACTTTTTTGTCCCACGGCCCGGTATGATCCACAGACCGGTACCGGCATCAGCACGCACGACCAAGGCAAGGCGAGCCGAGCGACCGGCCAGCCAGCCGTCCCCCGCTTCTCCCTGCCACCTTCAACTCCTCCTTTGTACCTTTGTCGATGGGCTTTTCGGGCTCTTTCTTAAATCTCCTCCTGAGTAACACGAGACTCCACCGCCATCGGGACGGCTCTTCGTTTGAAGCCGCCCCCCCCCCTTCGACGAAACTAAGGCGTGAGGATTCCTTCAGCACCCAAACGCCGCTTTCCAACCGACGACCGACAAGCTCACCCAGAAGCACTTTCTCAAGCGCCGTCGAAGCAAGATGGCGGCGCCCACTTCTTTGCGGCCCGGTAAAAAATGATCCACGGACCAGTACCGGTCCAGGGCCCGGTGGTTGGGGACCACTGTTTTTAACAATCTTGATCCTTAATCCTTTCAAATAATCATTTAGGTGAGATGAGCGGTATAGAAATTTGATAAATGTCTTAAAACCTGATTTGATTTTTACTTTGTTTCTTCTCACAACATTCTTCAAAGGTTTAATAAGTGTCTTTTGTAATCCAATATACTCTTTTGCTGTTATTTGTATATCCTTTTAATTATTAAGACATCAATCATTTTCAGTTGAACATCCAGTTAGCATCTTTTTTCATATCAGTCTTGTAGCCTGTCCTTTTAAAATCCACTTTCAGATATATCTGTGTTGCTTTGTAAAACTTGTTCCTCTTCCATAACATCTTTTAAACACAGAATATATCATGGCAGACACTTTTAAAATTAATTTGGGACCATTGTTCAAAAATATTTCTCAATATGGTCAATATTAAGGTGTTTTGCTTCATTTTATATTAAGTAAAAATTGAGTGTTTTTCCTCCTTTAATTGCTCTGTAATCTTTAGTTCCCCCTGTCTTCAAAGTTCCGTCTTTTTTTAAAGAATTCAAAACAGAAACATTTTCCCATAGAAAGAGTTCTTAAAATTAATCCCAAAATCTTATTTTAAATCCATCTGGACCTCTAGTTCATTTGTAACTTTTGAAAATCAAAGTTCTGATCACCCTTTTCCTGTTTATTCAAAAATAATCTTTTTTTGAAAAAAAAACCCTTACACATGTATTTAAAACTTATTTTGCTAAAGAGTAAGGAAATTCACCAGGTGCTGTAAAACTTGTTGCTCCTTGGTCCCTAACAGCTGAGAAGCCGTTAACAAACCCTTTGAGAAGCAATTAGAAAAGGAAGTATGCAAACCCAAGCATCCTTAGAAAAGATGTCAACTGTGGTTTGAGTGAAGATGCTTCATGTTTCAGAGCTCTAAAACCACTGGTGAAGAAATGGCAAAATTGAGCAAAGCCAAATGGCAGAATAAAGAATGGAAACTAGAGGACTTAAAATCTACAGCTAGAAGCTACGGGTATATATGGGACCACTCTAAAGCCAACAAAGAGTTGATAAATCAGATTATTCAGAATGGGAGGCAATAGGGGGGGAAAGAGACACCACTTTGTGTCAGTCTTCCTCAGTTTTATACTTTGCAAATGTGTTTTGACTTTAAATCCTGTAAATTGTTAGCTGGCAGAAAAACACAGATTGGTGAAACCAGCCATAAGCAAAAACACCTTGAGCTCCAGGTACAATTTGCAATTGTGACCTCAAGGTTACATGATTTGAAAGGCTATTTACCCATTATAAATAGTCCCAAAGATGCTTTTTCAAGCACCTTAAGAAGCAACTGGACTTCCTGGTTTTTCTTTGAAGATGTTTCACTTCTCATCCAAGAAGCTTCTTCAGTTCTGACTGGATGGTGGGGAATGGAAGGACCAGCAGACAGCTGGTCATTTACATTCTTTTATCTAAATTTCTAATAGATGTCAAACTCACGGTGTCAGGTCATCACATGATGTATCGTGACTTTCCCCTACTTTGCTAAAACGGAGGTGGGGTGCAGGATATGACGTATCTGGGCCAGGGGCCACGAGTTTGACACCCCTACTCTAAAGAGATTTTATTTAAATATCTAAAGCCTGCAAATGACCAGCTGTCTGCAAAGAGTGTAACACCTTCCATTCCCCACTATTCAGTCAGAGCTGAAGAAGCTTCTTGGATGGGAAGTGAAACGTCTTCAAATAAAAACCAGAAAGTCCAGTTACCTCTTGAAAAAAGCACCTTTGGGACAACCATGACCTGGATGAGACTGAGAATCTCCACAGATAGACACCCATTATAAACAACCAAGGATCCTTGGCTTGTGCCTATAATCTACTGATATGAGCAACTAACCTCTCAGTGAGGGAATTATAGTATTGGAAGGGCCTCAAAGATCATCTTGATCAGGCTTTCGCAATTTGAAGGGAAACTAATTGAACTCCTCTTAAGAAGTGGCTGTTCAGCACTTACGATCTTGACAGCTTTCCTTCAGAAGTTCAGCATGATAGCTGGCTGCAGTGCAATAAATCAGTCCCCAAACTGGACACTATTCTCATGTGTCCAGTTTTGGGACAAGAAGAGAAGAATAGGAAAAGGGTGACATATGCCAGTCTGTTGGTCCTCCAACACTGACAAATAAACCACCGTATGTTGTTTGTTAAGAGTGAAGATGGCAGTGAAGATCAAGATACAGAATTCAGGGTTGTACCATTCTATCCTGACAAACCAGCCTTTTTGAGAGTAATCTACCCACAAATCAGTATCTATACACTCCCCCTGTATTTTAAAGATCAAGCATATAAAAAAATAGAATATTTAGCAAACAAGTAAAAACATAATTAGGTCTTTTTTACTTAAGATAGTTTAATTATTTCTTAAATAAAAAACCTCACATTTAGTTATTTTTATGTACAAATAGATAGAAAAAGGGAATGGCAGGGTGGAAGATATTGCTTCATTGCTAGTTCTACACTAGCTGCACAAGGGACCAACTGGGGGAATGAAGTGGTCAAAAGAAAGGATCTTCCCATAAGGGTCAAGGAAGGTTTGTGCAAAATATGCTGGGATTGTCCATGTTGAGTCCAGAGAGCAAATAAGGGCAAATTCAAGCTAGATGAAACAGTTCTTTGGATTTCAATGCTGCTGCAATTCCATCCAGTCCTAGCTTTGCTCCTTCAAATGTCTCAGTTCACCACTGCCACTGGTTCTCCTTCCTCAAGATATTGGTGGCTTCTTGGCTTCACCCCTGCTAATCCTGAAATAGAAATATCACCTGCAGGAGAAATGCAGTTCATTAGCCAGAACTTTTCCACATGTCCCCCCTCCTTCCCATTGACTTTGTTAGAAAGTGATCACATGATCCTGGGACACTGCAACTGTCATAAATATGACTGCACAATTCATTTTACAACTGCAGTGATTGGTATAACAACTGGAAAAATAGGTCATAAAATCCGGTATAACTCACTGCCTTACTTAGCAATAGAAATCCTGATTGCAATTGTGGTTGTAAGTCAATCACAGGTGTAGATGTAGCTACATCTGCACTTCTCTGCTTCCCTTTCTTCTATATTTCCCACACCCCCTATTTTTCCCATCACAGCAAATCCCACTTACAGAAACGGATCCTGATTGGCCAGATCATGATGCTGGCTAGGAATAGGGCAGCCACCATTGCCATGCCTCCAGTAACCGAGACCATTACCCAATGGTAGAAGGTCACACAGCCGTTGCAACAGAGCTGAGTCCTGGATTTTGTGAAGGGTGGGGATGGAGACGGGAATAGAGGGGGGGGAAGGAAATGCAACAAGAAGATAAATATTAGGTTGTGTACACTGCTCTTACACATGGAGGCTCTCTCTTCAGAGCCCCTGGTTAAGCAAAGCAGGTAATTCCACTGGAGAACATAAAAATCTTGTAGGATCAAAACAAAAAAATGGTTGGAGCTATGTTTCTTGTTAGTGCCATTTCAAGAGTCTTGCTGAGCCTACTACCAATGCCATTCCTCAATCACTGTTACTGTACATTCTATGGTAGACTGCTTCGGTGCATGGAGGATTCCCCTCAGCTATGGTATATCTAACACTCCCTCTTAAAATTCCCGTCTCCAAAAAGTCTCAAATCCAGATATTAAAGGTTAGGAGATTCCACAAGTTATAATATGGTTTGTAAGCATAACATTGGCAGTGATGCATTATGAAAACTGAACTATGGTTTGATCAAGCATGGTTTCTACTTCTAATATACCTGTACAGGGTCCATATACCAGTATTTGATTTAAGGTTTGCCTTAATGCATAAACTTGATCATAATGGTTTGCAACTGCACTGGACAGTCTAATGGGTGGGTACTACAGTCCAGCCAATTATGGTTTATTAAATAAACTATGGTTAAGCTTTATTTATATATTTGTTTTATTGATTGATTGATTAGCCCTTGGGCCATATCAAAGTGCAGAGTTCCAGAAACAAATTATTACTGAAATTTGATAAAAGCAATTTAAAATGGAATTGGATAAAATACAATTTAAAATGGAATTGGATAAAATACAATTTAAAATGAAATTGGAATAAAATACGATTTAAAATGAAATTGGAATAAAATACAATAAACTGTGGTTAAGTAATTCCTGGTTTAACGCAAGATGTAAAGTACATAATGGGAAATACATGCTGAATCCAGCATCATTCAAATGGATTTAAGAAAACAACTATCCCACCTGGCCTGTTCTGACAAGCAGAAACTATTTCTTCACAAAGTGCCCTCCATTTTCTCTGCCCTTCGAGTCACTGATGTGCCAAAGGGGGCCTGCTCACCACCCTTCTTTTCACCAACACCGTTGTCTCACTGTGGCCCACAACCTTCACTTACGGGCATGGATGCAGGTCCTGGATAATCATCACCGACAATCCGTTGGCAACTTTATCAGTGAAGCTCATGGCCCCGTAGACGAATGCGCCGCTGTGCTATTGGAGAACAAGGAGCCACAAATGCATTAGGGCCACTTGAGTGGCTGCCAGGTCTTATCCTGGACAGAAAGCAAAACTTTGAAACAAAAAGAAGAGGCAAACCTCAAAATAGTTCTACAGCATAGTACCATTCTGAGGCTTGTTGTATTCCTTTTCTTTCCTTTTTCTTTCTTCCCCCATAGCAGATAACAGATAATCAGAGTTGGAAGGGACCTTATAGGTCATCTAGTCCACCCCCCTGCCCAAGCGGGAGACCCGACACCATTTCTGACAAATGGCAGCCCAATCTCTTCTTGAAGGTCTCAAGTGATGGCACTCCCACAAGTTCCAAGGGCAAGCTGTTCCACTGGTTGATTGTTCTCACTATCAGAAAGTTTCTCCTTATTTCCAGGTTGAATCTCTCCTTGTTCAGTTTCCATCCATTGTTTCTTGTCTGGCCTTCGGGTGCTTTAGAAAATAGCTTCACCCCTTCCTCCTCTCTGTGGCAGCCCCTCAGATATTGGAAGACTGCTATCATGTCTCCCCTGGTCCTTCTCTTCACTAGACATGCCCAGTTCCTGTAACCGTTCTTCATATGTTTTAATCTCCAGTCCCCTAATCATCCTGGTTGCTCTTCTTTGTACTTTTTCTAGAGTCTCAACATCTTTTTTATAATGTGGTGACCAAAAGTGAATGCAGTACTCTAGGTGTGGTCTTACTAGGGCTTTATAGAGTGGTATTAGTACCTCACTTGATCTTGATTGTATCCCTCTGTTAATGCAACTAAGGATTGCATTAGCTTTTTTGGCTGCTGCTGCACACTGCTGGCTCATATTTAACTGGTTTCAGGAGGATCTTTGCCTACAGCAGTGTTTCTCAGCAGCTTTAAGATATGTGGACTTCAACTCCCAGAATTCCTCAGCCAGCATTCCTCAAGTCCACACGATGAGAAACACTACAGGATGTACAGAATGGCAAACAAACCATTTATTTCTAAGCTTCTCCAAAAGTGCCCTTTGTCCTTCATATTCCCCTTCCCATAAAAACAAATAAACAAGTGGCCTTACGTACTTCTAAAAATAAGCAAAGCATTATATTATGGCACCCTAAGGCTCGAAGTACACATTTTGCCTTTTAGTCCCCATAACACCTGAGGTAGGGATTGTGCAAAAATGCTGCCAATGATATACAGCCCAGGAGCCCCACCTAATTCAAGACGGTGGCCGCAGTGGTGTGATTAAAGTCCCGCTTCCTTTTCATGTGCATAAAAAGGGGAGGGGCTTTGGTTATGTCATTATGGCTTCCATCTTGAATCTCTCGCCTCTCAGAATAACCTTGGCCACTTCTTTGGCATTGTTCCCTTGAAGATATCATTGGAGCTCCAAACGAATCACTCTTGTCTATGATTCAGAAATCCCACATTTCTTCTTTTTTTCTGCTTTTTTTAAGGATTAGCGCTGACTTTTCACCCAGCTCCTAAAGCGGGCCTGACTCCATCTTTTACACAAGGTGCTTCATACCGTATGGGGTCCGATGAGATCAGCTGTCATGGAGAGGGAAGTTACCAAAATGGTGGCCGACCCTGTCCCAAGCAGAACAGCAGCCCCGTAAACTTCAACGCCAAGTCGCTCAGCTAGGGCCACCCAGGAGGCAAAGGCCAAGATAATCAGCAGTCCCAGGAAGTAGGTGAGCTAACATGGATAAAGAAATTACTTTCACTTCCGAAACATGGATGCATTGATCACTACTACATAAAATATTCATTCAATATCTATGGAGGTTCTCAGTCATCCAGCTCATGGTTGTCCCCGAGGTGTTTTTAAAAATAAAAAAGGCAACTGGACTTCCTTGATTTTTATTTTTCTTGAAGACTTCATTTCTCTTCCAGGAAGCTTCTTCAGTTGTAACTAACCAGTGGGGAAAGGAAAGGAAACGTTTTCAAGAAAAGAAAAATGAAGAAAGTCCAGTTGCCCCTTTTAAAAAACATCTTCGGGACTATGTATTCAATAGCATCCTCTAATTCAGCGTTTCTGAATTCTTGACAACTTAAAGATGTGTGGACTTCAACTCCCAGAATTCCTCAGTCTGTATGATAGCTGGGGAATTCTGGGAGCTGAAATCCACATCTCTTAAATTTGCTGAGGTTGACAAACAATGTGCTAATATCTAAGAATTTCTCCAGGTTTTCTATAGTCAAGTGTTTTATCTTTTGGACAAGAGCCTACTTTTTGCAAAAAGCTGGAGAGTATTATATTGAAAAAAGAGAAGAACACAGTGCAAGCAAGAGCTAGAATGAACAAAGGAAGCAGAGATGGCACAACAATGACAGCACTTGTAAATGAATATAGCTCAGAATACAACTTCTATAAGCTGCCTAGAGTCATTGTAAGTGAGATGGTGGCCATATAAAATGTATAAATAAAACAGACATGTACAGCATAGCATTTATAATTGTCAAGGCATCTATTACAACTGAAAATAAAATTATGTTCTGCAAGAATTAAAGATTGCCCTTTTCTAAAAAGCTCAAAGTTCAGGAAAACATCTTATTCTTGCAAAATAAAATCAAGGGAAGATTGACATCTCAAGGTAATTTGGGAAACATGGTTTTACAAATCCTATTTTTATTGGGGGTAGGGTTGTTGCATAAAATTTGTAACATCAGAAAAGTTGCCTGATTTGTAACATCAGCTTTCAGCTGGTATCTAAGAACCTGTGTGAAAGCGTAGAAGGAGTGGCGGAACGTCGGGGAGGAGTTAAGAGGGACTGGCCTAGAATCCCTACATAGCCAAAAATGAACTAAGTGCAACCTTGAATTCCATTGACCCTTACCTAACTCCAAGCAGGTGCTAACGAATAGAATAGAGTGGAGTGGAGTGGAGTGGAGTAGAGTGGAGTGGAGTGGAGTGGAGTGGAGTGGAGTGGAGTGGAGTGGAGTAGAGTGGAGTAGAGTAGAGTAGAATTCTTTATTGGCCAAGTGTGATTGGACATACAAGGAATTTGTCTTTGGTGCATAAGCTCTCAGTGTGCATAAAGGAAAAATAAATACATTCATCAAGAATCATAAGATGCAACACCATGATAAGCATAGGTTACTAATAAGCAATCAAATCATACTAGGGAACAAATAAAACAATATAAATTGTAAAGATATAAGCAACACGGTTATAGTTATAAGTTGGAAGAGACAGGTAATAAGAAGGATGAGAAGAATAATAGTAATATTATCTGAGAAGATTCCTGTGCATAGGCATTTTTCTTTTCTTTTAAAGACCCTGTAATCCCTTGCATGGAATGCAGTGGCTCAGTGGCTAAGACGCTGAAAGGTTGGCAGTTTGGCAGTTCGAATCCCTAGCGCTGTGTAACAGAGTGAGCTCCTGTTACTTGTCCCAGCTTCTGCCAACCTAGCAGTTTGAAAGCATGTAAAAATGCAAGTAGAAAAATAGGGACCCCTTTGGTGGGAAGGTAACAGTGTTCCATGCTCCTTCAGCATTTAGTCGTGCCGGCCACATGACCATGGAGACATCTTCGGACAGCTCTGGCTCTTCGGCTTTGTAACGGAGATGAGCACCACCCCTTAGAGCCGGAAATGACTAGCACGTATGTGCGAGGGAAACCTTTACCTTAATCTCTTGCATCAGAGTGGATTCAGAGTTGAGCATTTACTGACTGGATGCTCTTCCTGATGCCTACGTGGAGTTTGCAGCAGATATTTTCTTGCACCCAGGAGGAGAAATATCTGCTGCTACCTAGGGTCGAATTCACAGCTTCCTGATTGTGAGGTGAGAGCTCAATGTCTAGGCCACCACACTACTCATTCCCGTGCGCATACATGATTAGCAATAAATCAATTTCATCAGACCTTCATGTATGGATCTGGTCCTTTGCACCTGAAGAGATCAATTGGATTTCCTAGTGTGGATAGAGCCTCCGTGATGCAACAGAATTTAATCCTTTCACACATTCCCATAAATTTCAATTTGGATAATGCAATTTCTGCACAGTTGTAGGTGCCCGAGCATGGAAGAGACCTTCCTGGGTGTGAGTGAAGTGGTAGTTACAAGGACACCTGGCAGGAAAGCCGAATTTTCCTTTAGGGCTGCCAAGACTGAAAAGGAAGGCTGGGAGTACTCACATTTCTGCCAATCCACTTGTTCACAGTTTTCATCAAAAAGGAGGAGAGAAAGCCACTAATATACATCACCAGTGGAATTGTGGCAATGTATCTCTGTAAAAAGGTAAGAGAAAAGGGAATAAAACCATTGAGGCTCTTCCTTTAGGGAAAAAGATAAGAAAACAAATGCAGCCTACTACTGTTGATTAAATCCTACCCCAACAGTGGTGGCTTTTGCAGAGGGCAAGGGAGCTGCTCTTCCAGTTTCCGGTGCTCCCACACTCCCACGCCAGGGAGCTGATATTCTGGTTTCTGGCGCTCCCCCGTGAACGCTCCTGTTTCGGCACTTGGTGCCGAAAAAGGTTTGCCAACACTGATAAAACAAGCTTCCCCCTTCCCAAAGATCATACTTACTTTTGGAAGCAATAGTGAATTGGTGAGGTACATTGCAATGTATGTCTGAGATAGGTTGACAATGAGCCGGGTGAACATGTACAGCATTGCCACCTGGAGGCAGAAAGTGGTGTTACATATGCACATACCTAAGTGCACTGATGATGCTACCTAATTTGGGTAATGAAATGTCTGCAAGAAAACCACCAAGCTCAGAGAGCATCAAGGACCTCTCACTTAGTATCATAGAACCACAGAGCCAAGGTTGAGAAATACTGCTGGCTGGGGAATTCTGGGAGTTGAAGTCTACACACATCTCAAAGTTGCCACGGTTGAGAAACTTTGTTCTAGAACAGTGGTCCCCAACCTTTTTTGTACCAGGGACCAGTTTCAAGCAGAAACACTTTTTCAAGGACCTGGGGGGGGGGGAGTCCGAGTTTGGTGGTTTACTTCCAGATGTTTCATTACCTGACTAGGTAACATATGTTGTTACCTAGTCGGGTAATAAAACGTCTGCCAGCAAACCACCAAGTTCAGGGAGCCCCAATGCCTCCCCATTGCAACCCTGAGCGAGATATTCTCTTCTATTGGGACATTTAAAACGGAGGGTTTCAGCTGCAGATTCAGGAACTGCGCCGGGCTGAGGAACGCCTTCAAAACTGAGCGCTGGG